AAAGCTTACAACAAACATTGTCAAAAACACAGCTGATTCAAAAATGCTACTTAAAAAGTGGCTTTTCTTCTCATATTACATTTATCCACCATCACAAGTGTTAAACGATTGCTTATTTAGTTGATTACAGTAAAGTTATAATTTCTTTTGAATTGATTGAATTTTTTTATTTTCATTTAGCGTAGATATGTCATTAGGTGTTATGGTTATTGATTCATAGCGATAGTAATAGGTTTATAACATTTCTGTTGTTCATATACATATTTATACTTATACTGGTCTTTTCTTACACACAAAAGATCTGCCAGATCTCAATGTAGTCTATCAGTTGAGCCCTTTGAAATTTAGTTTATATTTATTTTCAATTATTTTTTAGATCTTTAATTACTGTTTTCTCTATACACTTTGCTTTTAAATTTGAATATGCTTTACCCTTTTTTATAACCTTGCACCATAAGTTATGGTTTTTATGTTTTAGGGAGTGCTTACTACTTCAAAAAGTGTCTTGTATTTTATCCAAAATGCACACATACAGATATATGTATTATTTTTAGTAGCTTATTCGTCTAGTTACTACTTTTCAGGCTATAAACAAATTATATTTTGGACCGTTTAGCTGGGACGCTTATTATTATTTTTTCTTTGTAAATTCACACCTTTATACTACACGTTTTGCCTTGCTTTAAGTGATTATCAACGATTATCAACGTTATGTTGATAATCGCTGTAGAATTTTAAAATAGATGACTTTAAAATGATATTGTCAATATTTTTGACTTGAGTTACTGGGCAGACTTTATTGGAAAATAGTTTATTCAATTTTGTACATAAAATCTACTTTAACTTAGTAAAAACAAGTCAGAAAAATCATAGCATGTGAATTGACCTTAAAAAAATAAAAAGACAGCCACCTGAAATGATGACAGTAAAATTCTAATGTTAGTGAACCCATAGGAAATCATGAGAAAAAATTATGAAAAAACTAAATGAAAGTGTGGTATTTAATTTGGAATTTGCGACGTAAGTCAAAATTTAATCTTTACAAAAGAAAGACAGTTAAGTACGTTAAGACGTATAGTGCCTTTGTATATTTGCTTACACGTACAGAGGCACTAAAGGTGAAATCAAGTCTTGACTGTCTTTCTTTTATTTCGATATACTCTGTATGAGTACAAGAAACCATTTCGCCAAGGATTTTTGCTTAGTTGAGAATGCAATTTTAGATTTCTCATTTTCTCCCTTCACATTTTTAGTAACGTCTTTTAGACCTTGCAATTTTTAGAAGGCACAGATTAAAGCACAAATCTGGATTTTAGTTGTGTCAATAGAAATCTTCAAATTTCTGCTTTCGTGATTTTAATCATTAGGTATGTATTCACTAAAGTGGTAATACATTTTACAGGTAAATAAACTGATAATCAACTTGTTAGTCCGAAAACGTTCCCTTGTGACGTAGCTAGAAAGGGTATTCTAATTATATACCATTTATAAAGGATTTTTGAATAAAACTTGTTTATTTGTCTTTATGTTTCACCCAAATAAAAATGTTTACATTCACAAGGTATTTTATAAATATAATTCTTTGTTCTTTCTTATTAATTGTTAGGTTTTCACCTCTCATGATGTGCCCAAGTATTCCAAATTCCTGATTTTTATGGAATTTCCAACTTTGCATTGTTTTCCTAGTTGTTCGAGAACTTGTTCGTTTGTTTTGCGATCCATTCGTGATATTTTCAAAATACGTCGATAACACCACATTTGGAATGCTTCTAGGTTTTTTGTTGGATTGTTGGATTTTTTAAGTGACCAAGCTTCAACCCCATATAAAAGGGTAGAGAAAATATAACATCGAAGCATTCTTATTCGGAGCGATATATTGATATTGCGATTACAAAAAAGTTTTCTTATTCTATTAAAAGTTTACCGTGCAATTTCAATGCGGCATCTTATTTCTTTTGTCTGATCAGTATCGTCTGTGATCCATGCTCCAAGGTATTTGTACGAAGATATTTGTTCAATTTCTATATTATCTAGTACCAGCTTAACTTTGATATTTTGTGCATTTGTAAGTACCAATTTTCTTCCAATTTATTTTTAGTCCAGGATTGTTCTAATATATATTTAGCTGTTCAGCAAGGTGTTGCAATACTTCTAGTGTTCCAGCCAGAAGAACGGTGTCGTCAGCAAGATTCTAGCTAGATTCTAGCTTTGTTGAATGCAATATTCATAACCATTAGTTCAAATTAGGTAGTTTTTTTTACCAATATAAACATACGTAAATTTTTGAATTTGCTTATTTTTCATCTGCTTCTAAAAAACATTTAACAACACTTGTGTTCTTAATAACGACCGCAAAGTTTTTCTGCCAAAACTCTTACACAAGAGATCAATTTTATTTAAACCTAACCCTAACAATAAACAAGAAAGAGCAAAGAATTGTATACCTTGTGAATGTAAAGACCAATAAATGTCGAAATAAGTGAACATTAATCTTAAATTAAAAATAGAGAACTTGATAGATCTCAAATATTTAAACAAGCATCGAAAAATGAACATAGAATTCAATGGGATGTTTCAATTACAGTCCTTAAAGAAGCAGATAGTAAAAAAATTAAAAAAGCGACTCATGTTAAATGAAACCAATTGCGGTGAAAATTCCTCTCTAGAATGCAGTATAGTTTGGTTACCCATACCAAAATAGGAAGTCTATGTAGAGAAACTACCACTATTGGTAAGTCAATAACTTATCGAGGATACATAATTTATGTTCTAAAATAACTCAAATATAAAATCGGAATTTGGTAATAATATTGAGAGTAAACTCAATATTAGATCAAATTACCATGTCGGGATAGTATCATGAGATTTTTTTCCCATGATTATGGGATCTCTAACAGGAGAATTTTACTATCATCCTTGGATGAAGTTTTCTTTTAAAAGGTACATGCTATGATTTTTCCGATATTTTTAAATTAAAGTTGATTTCATGTAACCTAGTCTAACCGGGAAAGTCTAGATTAAAACATGTGAGAAATGAAGACATAAGGAATCAAGTGAATGTACAAAGATCAATTATAGAAGACATCGAAAAACAACAACTGACATGGTACGGACATGTAAGACGTATGGGAGAAGAAAGACTACAAAAAAATATTAGAATGGGTACCACCAGAGAAAAGAAAACGAGGACGACCACCAACAACATGGATGCAAGGAATTTCAAAAACAATGTCAGCAAGAAATCTACATAAAGAAGACTGGCAGAATAGACAGGCTTGGCGAACGGGAACCCAAAGGCGGATTATCTTCCAATAAAGTCGTCCCAAGAATGAAATATTTTTCTGAATAGTCAAAGTGAATGAGTAAGATAAAAGTAAATTATTTAAAGACTCTTTACTAAGTAATAAAAACTAAATTTGTTTAATTTATTAATGTTTTTTATTTTGAGCACGATTTCAGAAGTTGAAATCGAAACGCCGAATAAATTTATTTTAAAGTTTAAATTTTAAACTATAATTATCGCTTATACTTAATCAAAATAGTAAATTTCATTAATATGCCATCAAAAATGAGATTTATAATAATATTTAAATAAATAGCTGCTTTCACAATTCCAAATGCTTAAATAGTTGATTTGGAGTCAGAAAATAAGAATGAAATTAACCAGAAATAGAAAGTGAAATAATAACAGAAACAAGTTAACTCTTAAATAAGAAAGTATAGGAAATTATTTCACTGACTAGCAATCAACCGAATTGTGCTGGAGAATATTAAAGAGTCAGCCGAAGAAATATGGAAATAATTAGTAAATAATGATTGATAAAAATACTGTCACTGGGGCATGTAACTGCTGCAATGAGCGTCCCCAGGTGGCGGCTAAATGCAAAGAAAATGCAAAAAACCTCAAGATCAAATGAGCTAAAAACCAAATAAATTCATTTCTCGAAGAGTACATATAACAATAAACATATTTGGTTACACGGTATTATTACCTGTATTCTTCAAACCATTTGCAGACTACCGTTTACGACTCTTCGAAGTAAAGTTGCTTCATTTTTGATGTTATACCAGTCCCTTATGTTCCTTATCCAAAAATGTTATTCTCTTTCAGAACCTCTGCGACTTTATACCTTTTCTTACAAAATTAGTTTGATAATGTAGTACTTAGATGTAGTCGACTAGATCGTCTCACTAGAAATTCTGCTTGCTTTTACAGCTCAAATGGTTCATATTAATTTACGACTAGCGTTGGTGATGCATTTTTTTAAAGTTCAGCAGGGATTCCTTGTCATCCATAGGCTCTTTTATTTTTCATGGTTTTTATAAATTTGGCAGTTAGGTCGTCTCCGACCTAACTAACCTAAGCCGCCTCCGACTCCTGGGTGTATGTTAAAGATATTCAGTTCTTTACTCTAGTTTTTTTGCTAAGTGACTTTTTGAATACACTGATTGTGGTGGTTTGTAGGTTTGTTGTATTTATTTCCTCCCTCCTTAGATTTCGTATTAATCTCCAAGCCACTGAAGATTAACTATAAACAAAAAAAATAAAGGAGTTATTTTTTTTTTGCTTTTTTATGTAGTTAAGTTGTAAGCATAACATCTAATATATCAAGATCAATAGTTTTCATATCTTTTAATAAATAATTAAAATAAAAAAGTGCTCGTAAAGATATTTTAAAGAAATATAATTTGTTTCATTACCATTAATTAAAATAATAATTTGGATTTGTTACAAACTATTCAGGATTTTTTAATAAAATAGTATGTGTATCAGATTCGTTTTAACTACATAAAGCTATTGACTCTGATTTTGTAGTACCTTTTAACTTAACTTGTTAATGAGATCTTTTAAAGTTATTTCATTGTTCTAATACTATATCTTAGGATATAACACAATACTTTTGTATACCGTGCAAATTTTTGAAGACCACTTTTTGTTCAAAAAATAACCAATGTTTGAGCAAAAGTTATTGCACATAATTTTAGTGCACGTAGCGCCGTCACACCCTCAATTCCTCCATTTTAATGTTATGTTTAGAGTTCATTTGGGTATTCTTTTTCGTAAGAGTACCGGTGTTAATAAGCTGTATGCTATGCGTCGACAGCAGTGGCTGATTTTCGGGCATTTGATGATGCCCATGAGCTGATAATGTATTTACGTTGGCTTTTGACAACTTTGGAGGAGGAGGTGGTCTAGGAAGAGTAGCGTTATTTTGAGGTAAATCCGCAAACTCTGGCGGGGGAAGCTGATGGTGTGAATGGTGATGGCCAAGGATTGTAGCTGGGTCACTTTTAACACCAATAATACTGCTTTCTAAGTCACCACAGATATTGTTAGGCATTTGGCCATTTTCATTTCGTTTTTTAGAAAGATGTCCTCCGTTTTCGTTCATTCTTGTTTTATCTCGTTGATAATAAACTCCAGCAAAAATTAGGACGTTGAGAATAAGAAGAGAACATCCTATGGCTATGGTTACACTAAGTGCTGTTGAATACGCTGCAAAACCGTCTTCTACTGGATGAACCGTTGTGCTCATACCACCTGAAACAAAAATAATAAATATAGGTAGGCTGTGGAGTCAAAAAATAATTCTGGAAGAGCAAGAGGAGTGCTTTTAAGTAGTTCTAATTTTTGTTTTTAAACGCAAATAATATATATATATATATATATATATATATATATATATATATATATATATATATATATATATATCGTTATGGTATTCAAAATTGAAGAGTAAAAATATTAAATATTAAATATTAAACGTACGATGAAATAAATATTTCAGAGATTATAGAAAGTAAAAATACTCCGAACTGCCTGAAATTAACCAAAAGTAATCTTAGTCATCGGTCGGTCAGATAGCTCAGCGGGCTGTACGGCTGCCTCTCATTCGCTTCACTGTCGAATGGTTTAGTGGATGTGGGATCGAGCCCAAGCTCGGTGTACAGAAAACAAAAAGTCTAACGCAGCAGTTTAAAATTCTAGATGAATCTGCGGCTTAGACTAGGATATACTGGGATCTGATCGGCCTATGGTGGAGCAGTACGGCAAGAGATAAGGGCTTGCGGCTCGGTGATACTCCTCCATAGATCCCTACCGGACAGGCGTAACGCCTAAAAAACCGGATATATATATATAATCTTAGTCATAAATAATCTTTTGTATAAATATAACAAGTGGATAGTGCGGATACAATGAAGAGAAGTTAACGATGGTTTTTTTCCATGAGCCATAAAGTGTTCCGTAATCCGAGTAAATGGTTCTGATCCTGAGTGCGCCCAAATAAGTAAATGGTTTTTCGAAATCTGTAAATACCCAGTAGAAATTAAGTGTCGAAATAATATGAATTAGGAAAGTTTGTAGGTATTTCTTGTGTCTTTCAACAGGTGGGAATTGATGACCGAGACCTCCGTATTATCACAAATTTGTATTGGCATCAATGTCCAAAAATACGAGCTGGACACAACACGGAAGCAGTGGAAATACGACGTGGAGTAAGGCAAGGATGTATTCTATCGCCACTACTTTTTAATATCTACTCCGAATTTATTTTTAAAGAGGCCTTAGTTGAAGATACATGCATAAAAATCAACGGAATTAATGTCAACAATCTCAGACATGCAGACGACACGGTAATTATTGCCTCCTATGAAGAAGACCTGCAACGACTTCTAAATAGGGTAACCGAAGCATGTGATGAATATGGGCTAAAACTTAATATGTACTTGTAAGACAAAATTTATGGTTGTCAGCAAAACGGAGTTACAACCAACGAACATCAGAGCGTATGGAATAGAGTTAGAAAGAGTCCACAATATTACCTACTTGGGTGCAAATGTTAACGATAACTGGGATATAAATAAAGAAATAAGAATACGCATTGAAAAAGCCAGAAAGAAAATTCTAATTAATAGAGATATTACGTTAAATCTTAAAATCAGATTAATACGCTGCTACATATTCTCCACATTGCTGTATGGTATGGAGAGCTGGACCCTTACAGAGACATTAATGAAAAAATTAGAGGCCTTTGAGATGTGGATTTATCGACGAGTATTGCGGATAAGTTGGGTTGATCTAATAAGAAATGAAATAGTTTTACATCAAATGAAAAAGAACACAGAAATAACAAAAACGATAAAAATTTGGAAGTTACAATATTTCGGTCATGTAATGAGACATCCAGAGAGGTATAACCTTCTACACCTCATAATACAGGGTAAGATCGACGGAAGGAGAGGCCTAGGCCGACGAAGAACATCCTGGCTACGAAATCTCCGAGAATGGTATCAAGAAACCACCTTTACTTTATTTAGAGCCGCCGTGAATAAGGTTATTACTGCCAATATGATCGCCAACGTTCGATAATCGGACAGGGCACTGAAAGAAGAAGAAGTAGGTATTTCTGATTTTATGTGGGGAGTGGTATGCAAATTTTTGATTGGCCGAGAATTTGGAAAGTGGTGAGATATGTGTGTATTATGAGAGGTTGGATGGATGGATAGATGAAATAAGATAGTTAGTTAGTTCCAATTTCTTAAAGTGAATGGTTGGTTTTCGAGGTAGTCTCCAGGGGTAGTAAGTGATAAAGAATAGGTTGTGAGTTAGTGAAGTAAGTGTGTCCGACGGTAGCTGAGCTGGTACAAATTTGTAAGTAAACTTTTCCTACTTGTATTCTACGTATCTATTATATCTATTGTAAGAATTTTCAAATTTAAGATAGATTGTTCTAAATTTATATTGTCTATATTAGATATATATGTGTTTCATAATAGTTATAATAAAGATAATTTAAAAAGTACTTATAAACTTGAGAACCGCGATTAAAACCCTATACTTATATAAGTTATTTTAAATTATTCATTGCTCACACACAAACAAAACATCATGGCAATATATATATATATATATATATATATATATATATATATATATATATATATATATATATATATATATAAATATATATATATATATATATATATATATATATATATATATATATATATATATATATATATATATATATATATATACATATATATATATATATATATATATATATATATATATATATATATATATATATATATATATATAATATATATATAAATATATAAATTATAAGCTAAAAGATTAAAAACAGTCAAACTACCAAAAAAAATTTAACTCACTAAGGAAAAGACGCCTTACATAATAAAGAAATCATCGTGCTCCTAGCAGACAAAGGCAATGCCACGGTAGTAATGAATATTCAAGATTACGAAGCAAAAATAAGCAATATTCTAAACGATACGACACATCAAAGAATCTCGTCGGACCCTACAACATATCTAGAAAAAGTAAAAAAAGCCAGGATCAAAGCCCCAGATATCAAAGAGGAACATCTGTTACATTTCATGCCTAGAAAGAAGTTATCAAAAAGTCCAAAACTTCAAGGGCCAAGCTACATAGAGTAGAAGTACAATTGCAGCCAATAGTTAGTTCTATTGGATCTCCTCTACAGCCACTGGCAAAATTTCTGGGTAAACAGCTACAACTATATGCAGAAGAAGCGGATTCTTACATCAAGAATTCAACCCATTTCATCGAGCTCGAATCGTTTCGGATGTTGGCGATAATCATAACAATCTATATTTTGCAAACTGCTGATCTGAAAAGATGTGTAGTTGTTGTGTTGAACCACGTACGTAGATTTTTCAGCAAGGAGATCCTTCGCCTTCCTGGTCCTCGTTTTCCGTCTACTTTTTCTTGCAGAATTAATTGCAACAACCCATAATATCTTTTGCTCTTCCACATGATGTGACCTAGATATTCGTTTTTGGCTATTTTTGCTGTGGTTAACAACTCTTTTTAAATGTGACTTCTTCTTCAAGTGCCGTCTCTCAATCAGAGGTTGGATATCATCATCACTATCTTTACTCTATCTACTGCTGCTCTAAAGAGTTCTATAGAACTGCATTTAAACCAGTCCTTTAAATTCTTCAACCATAACACTCTTCTTCCTATACTCCTTCCTTCTTTTATATTTCCCTGTATTATCAACCTTAGCAGTTCATATCGCTATTCCCTCATTACGTGTCCCAGATATTGTAACTTTCTTATTTTTATTGTGTTTATTATTTCGCATTTTTTGCTTATTTCTCAAAATACTTCCGTGTTACTTTTCTTCTGTGTCCATGCTATTCTAAGAATCCTCCTTTAACACCACATTTCAAAGGACTGTAACTTATTTATGTGTTCTTGTTTCAATGTACAAGTCCATATTGCAGTATCGAAAACACGTAGCATAGTGCTCTTACTCTCAGTTCTAATCTAAGATCTTTGTTGCAGATAATGTTTTCATTTTTACAAACGCATTTCTTGCTATTTCTATCCTAACTCTTATTTCGGTTGTTTGATCATTATTGTCTGAAATCCAGGTTCCTAGGTATTTCTATTTATCAACCCTTTCTATCGGTATATTTCCCAAATGTATGTTTGTTGGTACATTTGTTTTCTTTGTTATTATCATATATTTGGTTTTTTTATTTATTTTTAGTTTATATTTTTCACAGAAACTGTTTGTTTTGTTTACCAGTAATTGGAGTTGTTCAGCAGAACTTGCCATAATCACGGTGTCATTTGCATATCTTATGTTGTTAATAGATCTTCCGTTAATTATTTTTCCTTCACTTTGAGATAGTAATCCTTCTTCAAAAATGGCTTCACTATATACATTAAATAGTAATGGGGACATTATACATCCCTGCCTAACTCCTCTCCTGATTTCAATTTCTGGACTGGGTTCGTTATCTATTACGATTTGTGCTCTTTGATTCCAGTAGAGGTTCGTTCTTATTCGTAAGTCCCTGTGGTCTATATTTTTTGTCTTTAGAATGGACTAATTTTTCATGTCTTACTTTGTCAAATACTTCTTCAAAATAAACGAAACAAACATGCACATCAACATTCATATCCATGCATCTTTGAGCTAACACATTAAAAGCAAATAACGCTTCTCTGGTTCCTAGTCCGTTTTTGAACCCAAACTTACTATCATCTTTTCCTTCTTCTAGTTTTTTATTTATACGACCATGTACTATTTTCAGGAATAATAAATTAAGAATGTGACTTATTAGTAATATTATTCTGTATTCATTGCAATATTTAGCTTTTATATTTTTAGTGATAGCACAAAAGGTGAAGGTATGTGTCATGTTTTGTATACTGAGTTAAATAAGTCTACTATAATGTCTAAGGTTTCATCATTCATGCCTTTTAAGATTTCTATAGGGATTTCGTCTGGACCTAATGCTTTACTATTTTTGTTATTTTTTGATGCCATTTTAATTTCCTCTTTTAATATCTTTAAAACCATATCCTGTTCTACTTATATCTTCGACTGTTCTGTTCTATTCTTCGTCTTTGAATAGTTCATTGATGTATTCTGCCCATCTCTTTAATTTGTCGTTAGTATTCAACACAAGTTTTTCATTTGCATCTTTCATTATTCTCGGTTTTCTTGTTCTATTGTTGTGAGTTAATTCTTTAATTTT